AAAAAAAAAAAAAAAAAAATCACTCTTTTGGCTGGGCACGGTGGCTCAGAATGATTTTTCTGGGAAATCATTCTTTCCCAGAAACCCAAAACCCCGACCTTAGGACTTCTACCTAATGAGGGTCTCATTTCTCACCTGGAGTCTCAGAATAGAAAAAGGGTCAGCAAACTACAGTCCACAAGTCAAATCCTGAAGACTGTTTTTTGTTTTGTTTTGTTTTGAGACGGAGTCTCACTTTGTCGCCCAGGCTGGAGTACAGTGGCGTGATCTCAACTCACTGCAACCTCCATCTCCCAGATTCACACAATTCTCATGCCTCAGCCTCCCGAGTAGCTAAGATTACAGGCACCCACCTCCACACCCGGCTAATTTTTCGTATTTTTAGTAGAGACGGGGTTTCACCATGTTGGCCAGGCTAGTCTTGAACTCCTGACCTCAAGTGATCCACCCGCCTCAGCCTCCCAAAGTGCTGGGATTACAGGAATGAGCCAACCCACCCAGCTTGTTTGTTTTTTGTGGCCTATAAGTTAAGAATGGCTTTTCCATTTTTTAACAGTTCAAAATAAATCAAGAGACCAGTTGCAGGGGCTCACGCTTATAATCCCAGTACTTTGGAACGCCAAGGCAGGCAGATCACTTGAGCCCGGGAGTTCAATACTAGCATGGGCAACATGAGAAAACCCCATCTCTACAAAAAATACAAAAATTAGCCAGGCATAGTGGCCTGTGCCTGTAGTCCCAGCTATTCGGGAGGCTTAGGTGGGAAGACCGCTTGAACTCAGGAGGCAGAGGTTTCAGTGAGCTGAGATCTCACCACTGCACTCCAGCCTGGGTGATAGAGTGAGACCTTGTCTCTAAATAAATAGAACACTACAGTTGTCCCTCGGTATCCAGGGGGATTGGTTCCAGGATCCCTTGCAGATACCAAAGTTTGTAGATGTTCAAGTCCCTGATATAAAATGGCATAGTATTTGCATATAACCTAAGCAGTCGTCCCATATACTTTTTTTTTTTTTTTTTT